GGGCGCGGGGGCCCGGCGCGGCGGCGCGGAAGGGCGGCTCCCGGCGGAACGCCTGGGGGAACCAGTCCTACGCGGAGCTGATCAGCCAGGCCATCGAGAGCGCCCCGGAGAAGCGGCTGACGCTGGCGCAGATCTACGAGTGGATGGTTCGCTTCGTGCCCTACTTCAAGGACAAGGGCGACAGCAACAGCTCGGCCGGCTGGAAGGTAGCGGGGGCAGCCGGGCCGCGGGCAGCCAGGGCCTCGCCGCGCCGCCGCTCCCTGGGGCCTGGGCGGCGCAGCCCCGGCCGAGTGTCGGTGCAGCGGCCGCGCCGGCTCGGGCCCCTGGGCGCAGCCCCTGTGCCGGGGAAACGCCTCAGTCCGCAGGGCGAGCGCCTGGGCTGGCAGCTGCTGAGGCGGCGGCTGAACGGGGGAACCCAGCGACTGGCTGTGGGCGAGGTGCGCTCCTGGCCCTCGCTACCTGAGCCTGCAGCCTGAGCGGGCCGTCGCCCCTCGCTGCCCAGTCTCTGCTTTCTGCCGAGCCAGTGCCGAAAGTAAAGCGAGACCGTGGCTGACAGCTTTGCTCTTCTTGCCCAATGACATCTTCTGCTGTAAGGGTGTAAAGTTCGTCTCTTAAGGAGCAGGGCCGCCCAGAGGATTCAGGGGGCCTGGGGCAAAGCAATTTCAGGGGCCCCTTTCATTAAAAAAAGTTGCAGTACTATAGAATACTATATTCTCGTGGGGGCCCCTGTGGGGCCTGGTGCAAATTGCCCCACTTGCCCCCCCCCTCTGGGCGGCCCTGTTAAGGAGTGCGTCCCAACCTGCGCAGTGAACGTCCCCAGGAGAGTTAAGGATCCGCACAACCCCCCCCACCTTCCACTTTGCAATTGCGTTCTCTGACATAAACATATAGCTCTGTGTATGTGTGTATATACAAACACTGAAAAAAATCCAAAATAGGGCATGCACTTCTCCCTCTGTAGAGAGGAGGAGAGAGCAAACATGTTGCAGATTTAGTTGCTTACTGAACTGCTGGAAAATACTTGGATACTATGGGGAGCACCTCTATAGAATGGGATATCTATTACAGTCTTTCAGTTCACCTATATTAAAAAAAATCCCCCAAACTTGAGGCTGTGTACCTACCGGATAGAGCTCCGGACTGGGACTCAGGAGACCTAGATTCTTTTCCTCACTTAGGCACTACTCTGTAGAGCCCTGAGTGGATACCAAATGTATATCTGCGGATGGGATATCAGCGGATATCCATGGAGCTGCAGGACTCTACCGGGAATAACAGCGGTGAAAGCAGCCGTATGTCCAGCCGCCACTCACAGAAGCCAGTGCACTGTGTGGGCAGCTCCTCTGGCGTGGCTGTACTGCCCCCGGTCTCCCCCACTGAGGCAGGCACCAGGCTCAGTGGCTTGCATGCTCCCGGACTAGTGCGACCAGGGACAGCTGCCACTGAGCCTGGTGCCCCCCCCAGTCAGGGAGACCAGGGGCAGTACAGCCACGCCGGAGGAGCTGCTCATGCAGGGTGCTGGCTTCTGTGAGCGGTGGTCGGACATGCAGCTGCTTTTGCTGCTGCTGTTCCTGGTAGGGCTCTGCAGTTCCTCGGATATCCATTTTATATTCACGGATATAAATTTGGTATCCACGCAGGGCTTTACTAGTCTGCTGGGTGAACTTGGATAAGTCACTTACCTCCTCATATCTCAGTTTCCCCATCTGTAAAATTGAAATAGTGATACTAACTTTTATAAAGTGTCTTGCTCTGCAGACAACAAGTGCTATATAAGAGCTTGGTATAATTCTTATTATTTATTATAAGTCTGCAAATCAGGCACCTAGCTGTGCCTCCTTGTGTTCCTTTTACCATCAGCCTTGTCATCCTCCTCTTTGTTTTATACCGACCTGTTGCTTCATGTCAGTATTTAGATTGTAAACTCTTTAGGGTAGGGATTGTCTAATGTTTATATAGAGCTTTGTGTAATGGACCCCCATTCTGATTGGGGCCACTGAGTTCTGCTGTAATACAAATAACCTAGTGGATGGAGGTGGTTGTGATGGGCTTTGTGGAGATGGGGCAGTTTGTATGTGTCTCCACTGAATGCACCAGGTTGTTATTGGACTCACCACAACCTATGGCTTTGTGAAGCAGATGAGGACTGCCCTTTGTGCCAATCTCTGGTCCAGCTGGTTTCTGTATTTCCAGGAAAGGCTGCTCCTTGCTCTCTTTGTGTTCTGAAAGTTTTCCAGGAAAGGAGCTGGCCTGTTAAGCGATTCTTGTGCTAAGCTACTGTATAAGATAAAGCATCATTTGAACTGGTTTTTAAATACAAAGCTGCAGTTCTTTGTCTCACAGCTTCTCTGAAACTCAGTATAAATAACTCCTTCATAACTGGTATTCCTGGCTTTCAAGAATCTCCCTTTAAAAAGGGTGCTCTGTCCCATGGGCAGAGGGGGTGGGTCTGTCTGCCCTACAGCGACTGAGGAAGCTCTGTGAGCTAGTGAAAAGTAAAAATAGACTGTGGAATACATTGTTTAAAAATACTAAACCATGTTGCTCTGGAAATAGAAAAGGTAGATACTAAAGTAACATGAAGAGCATTGACCTTAGTTTCCATCCTCTGCCGTTATCAGTCTGGTCTTCCATGCTAGTATGTTTAGACCAAGGGTCTGCAACCTTTCAGAGGTGGTGTGCCGAGTCTGCATTTATTCACTCTAATTTAAGGTTTCACGTGCCAGTCATACATTTTAACGTTTTTAGAAGGTCTTTCTATAAGTCTATAATATATAACTAAACTATTGTTGTATGTTAAGTAAATAAGGTTTTTAAAATGTTTAAGAAGCTTCATTTAAAATTAAATTAAAATGCTGAGCCCCCCAGACGGGTGGCCAGGATCCGGGCAGTGTGAGTGCCACTGAAAATCTGCTCGTGTGCCGCCTTTCGCATGCGTGCCATAGGTTGCCTACCCCTGGTTTAGACTAATGAATTGAATGAGGAACTGACATCTGAGGGATGCTCTTGGCAAACTTTCTGCCAAGCTACCTCAACACTCTTGCTGCTCTGGTGCTGGGCCTCCCGACTGCATTGGGGTGTTAACTTGCTGCATGTATCACCTAGTCCATGACAACTAACTTTAAAATAGGGTATCTTTTTGCTTGTATTGTGTTAGTGGCTTATTTGGAATGGCATGTATTTGTAGTTGTATTTATTATTTTAATTGTATTGCTCTAGCATCCAGAGGCCTAGTTAGGATTAGGGCCCTCTTATGCCAGGTGTTGTACAAACATATAGTGACTGTCCATTGCCAAAAGACCTTATTGTCTGAAGACAAAACACAGACCTACAGAGGGGAATGAGATATAACATGCAAGCAAAGTGAATGTGGGGGTGATGATCTTGTTTCTGCCCTAGAACAGCTAATAGAGGCTGTGTTCAATATTTCTACATTACTATTCTAGGTCAAACAAAACTTGCCCTGATATACAGACCAGGAATAACGGGAGCTGTGAGAATTTTGCTATCACACGAGCTAGTCAGTGCTGTCCTTAATAACTGTTCTTACATACAATGGGGATAGGCATCTTAGAAATACAGAGAGAGAAAGAAATAGGGGTCTTATTGTTGTGGAACAGAAGTCAGTTCCCTGCTCTTTCCAGAGTGTACATTGGATTTAAACTCTTACAGATGCCTTTAGGAGCCTGAATATGCAACTACTCAGCACGGAAAGTTTGTCACTTTTCCAACTGTATGGTGGCTGGCTGAGGATCTCTGGAGAGGACAAGTATCTGACTAAATTTCAGCTACTCTATTAATTTTTTCAATACTGGCTGAATCCAGTTAGTCAACAGTTGTCACGGGACAGTTTGCTAGGATGTGTTACTTTGCAACAGCTGTAAATACCAATTTTCCAGCAGGTCTGGTTGTCTCTCCTGAAGGGAATTCTTCCAGGCCCCATGTTAAAGGTGGTCTGTCCTCTATGCTACAATGATTCTTGTGTAATTATTTTGGCAAAAAGTTGGTGAGACTGATGTTAGATCATGTTCTCTGTGCTGTCCGTTGGGGAATGTCTATATCTAATCTCTAGGCCAGTGGTTCTCAACCAGCAGCACAATTAGCACACAGCTGTGGCTCAGTTCAGCTGTGTGCTAAAGGCTGTGGGTGTGCCTGGGGTCCCAGGTTCCCAGCTGCTCGGGGGTCGGGCTCCTGGCCGGCCCTGCAGAGTTCGGTGTTCAGGAGTCCAGGGCTCCCTGCCACCTCCGGGGCCACGTGAGCTTCGGGGTCCGGGGCAGCCGCCTGGCCCCACGAGCTTCGGGGTCCGGGGCAGCCGCCTGGCCCCACGAGCTTCGGGGTCCAGGGCAGCTGCGGCAGGGCCTGGGGTGGGCCGGGGGTCAGGGTCCAGGGTAGCCGCCTGGCCCTGCAGGCCCCGAGGTTCAGGGGGCTTACACAGAGGGGGACCAGGGCAGGCAGGGATCCAGGGCAGCCGGCCAGCCCCGTGGGGTCCGGGGGCCTGGGCAGCTGTGCGGTGAAGGTCCGGGGTCCAGGCTACCACTGCAGCATATGCAATGTGTAATATGTTGAGAACCACTGCTCTAGGCCATGACAAGCAAGATTTCAGAAGGAACGGAGTCCCCTTGTGTTCTCCACAAGACAATTGTGAAGTTCTTTTCTTGACCTTTGACTAATTGCAAAAGAGACATGCCTATGTTGTGAAGTCTTTGGGCCACTGCGTCCAAACCTCAGTGTCAAATAGGCAAAGCTGGTTGACTGAATTAAACAGGATGAGAGGCGTTTTAGGACACAGCCTAATTTGTTCTATGTTTGTACAATGCCTAGCATAATGGGGGTCCTGGTTGGTAATATAAATTATAATTAATAGTTATAGAAGTCCTGTGTGAGGCATGTGCTGCATCAGGATACAGACTCTAAAGTTATATTTAGAGTGGGTTCTAAAAATGTTTCCACTTCAAATAAAAGGTACTGGGGAGGTTGGAGGGTCTAGTATGATATAGCAGTTTCAGACATTTGTTTTCATTATATCATGTTTGTACCCTAAAGGAAAACTAGTCTGTGGAATGCGCAATCAGAATGTTTTTGTGGTAAGGCAGACACACAGATCCTTGTGTGATAAGTGAAGGGAATGGATGTTGTGGAAATATGCAGAGGTCTTCCTGCTGCTCTGGAATTGCTACTGTTCTCTAATGCAGACTTTTAGGTAGTG